TCCGAGATACTTGAAGTCTTCAAGTCCCCATCTGATGGGAAGGCCAGATACGAGGTCTGCATTAACCGCAAGTCCGATGCAGAATTTGATATTCTTCGTGTCCGGGCAGTGCGCGGCCATGCCGCACAGCTCATGTCGGAACAGATGGATATTAAGGATACGCATCAAGCGGTGCACACGTTTGTGCAGTGGGACGCCAGTCTAGCGACTCGGCCAAAAATCACCTCCACGGCAATGTTCTGCAAAGAATATGAGGAGTTCCCTCACAAGCTTGGCTACCACGGCACCTTTTCAGCGCAATTTCGCCAACATCATCCAGTATGGTTTGTTGCCTGGCGGGATGTCGCTCCACGAAAGTGGAAGCAGAGCTTTCGTTATGCTTGCTTCTGTGCCGGAGTGGCAGCGGCAGGACAATGCCGGACTTCGAGAGAAGGCCGAGATCGAGTTCGTCATCGATCTACAGATGGCAGTAAGGGACGGCTTGCGTTTGTTGGAAACACGCTCAGGAGCTCTGGAAACACCAGACTGGATCTCCAACCGGTACTTCGTGTACGTATACCGGCGTGGCTCAGCAGAGCCCATCTGGGTGAACCCGGTCTACCAGGCCATGCGAGTGCGCATTGACAAAGCCCTCAGAGCCTTCAAGGACAAAGGCGAGGTCGCCTACACATGTGATCCTGTCCCCGAAGATGTCTATGATCGATCCAACTGCCTCCTTGACTTGCTTGACGAGTCCCTGAACAACATCATGAATGAATGGGTAAAGCAGGTTTTATCCCATCGAACGCCGAAAGACATTCGACGCTCCTGCTGATGATCACAACGGCGGCTACGCGCTATGCCTCACAGTATGGCCGTCCCAGGAAGGTCGCAGAGTACGGCCCAACGCCAGGCGAGAGCCTCGGCACTGGATCAAACAAGAGCTTCTTGGACTCTCAGGGTTCATTTGCTCCCAGTGCAACCAGCCTTACATCGATGGCATGGTTGAGTGCCAAGTCTGCACCAGAAGGCTCGTGGAGATCACAGACCTGGCTGTTATGGCGGAACCAGACCGAGTACGAAGACTCGCCGCCCGAGAGGGTCGACTCCCAACCATGACCGATCTACAGCCTTCCACGGGACTCAACAGGCAGCGTGTCCGCGATATCGAAGGAAAAGGGGAGGAAGTGAAGAGGGTCCAGAGTACGGCCTCCACTATTCGCCAGAAGGTGGTGGGCATGCAGAGAACGGCTGAAGTGCAGCGCCAGATGACTCCCCAGGAAAGATTCGAGAAGGATCCGCTCCAAGCCCACAACTACGCAAAGGCGGGCCTGAGCTTCTACACTGTGGATGCTCTACAGCGCTTCGCGAACGTGAGGCTTCCCAATCCAAAGGGGAGAGGCAAGGGCAAAGGATCGGCCACCTACTACGATACAACTGGGAAACTGGCATTGCTGTGGGTGTCTGGGCAGCAAGAGATCGACCTCCTGACGGAGTGTCTCGTTTGTTTTCACGATCGGTTCTACACGATCGATGAAATCGCGGTCTTGATCAAGGCCGTGAAGGTCAACCAATTTGAATTCTCCATCCTCAAGTACGATGGCGATAAGCATTTCGTCACCCAGACGGAGATCCTCCCGATCATGGAAGAATTGGCTGCCTTCATCGAGCGAGAACTTCCAAAGAGTCGTAACCCAGACGACAGCCATGCGCCAAGGCTCATTTCCCGCGGCGAGCTCACGATCCCACCGGGCGCTGAGGGCTTGGGGAATAGACAGCTCAACGAGCTACTGGCCAATACCCCGTATCACATCCGGCGGGAGTATTTCATGGACTCCAGGATTGGGCGGAGTGAGTTCGCGCGACAGCGCTTCACGACATCGGCTCCGGCCCAGGAGCGACGTCCACCAGCTCCTCCTGCAATCCCATCTCCGAGGAGAGGCCGCAGCTCTAACGAGCGTGCAAATGTTTCCCAGGCAGAACGCAATCGCACGCGATCCCCTATTGCGAGGAACAGACCCACTCAGACCACAATTCGAACGAGTGGTGCCGCCTTCCTAGGGGATAGGCCAAACGAGCCGAGACCTGGTTCGTCGACAGATGTGCCGCATCCGCCAAACCCTCCTCCTCGCCGTCCAAAGCCCAGAGATCCTTCCAGCTACCTCAGTGACGATGACTGGGCGGCTATGCGATCAGGCCGGGCATTCGGTTCAGCTCCGGAGACGGACGCTACAGCTCCTTCATCCTCGCCAAGAGATGATGCAGAAAGCATTGCGTCTGGAAGCACAGCAGTTCCGGATTTGACCCGCCCGGCGAGAGCTTGGGCCGAGACTAATCGGCGACGCCGTGCTGATCCCATCACGTTTGGACCCTTCTTCAACACCCAGGGAGTATCCGAACGGGAAGCACAGGCGAGGGAGGTGGCGCAGAACTTTTTCGAGGAGCTCCAGACGGCTGGCCTCCTCTACGGCGGATTTCGTTTGGGCTATGACCAGAGAGGCAACGTCATTGACCCTGATTTGGCACGTCGGACGGACTGGAACCGCGTCGACGAGTACCAGTGGGCGGTATTCACAGGCATCCAGGAGCCACTCGTCAGACCTGGAGCTGTGATCAACCTGATACCGTCCTACGGTAACATGAGCGGCACCGGCATGTTTGATCAGTCCCATGTTCAGTGGTTCCTATCAGGATGGCATCACGAAGTGTACAACCACAGAACGGGACGACGGGATCGCTACTACTGATGGCTTCCTCATTTTCGAGATCTTGTTCATCGTGCTAGCGCATGATTCACCTCCCTAACGGGACGGTAACCTGAGCAAAGCTTGGCTGCAGTTTGGTTAGAAGTGATGTGAAGTTTTCAGCGCAAAAAGCACCATCTTAGCGGATCGGTGAGCGTCCGATACCCAAAGCGGGATGTAGTATGAACAGCCTACTCTTTTGCGAGTTGCTATCGTCGCAAAGCGATGGTACACGACAGTCTAGCGACTAGTCTTTCCTTCAGCTTATATTTTTCGCCTCTTCCGTAGCACTAAGACGCGCGGGGGGTGTCGTTTGCTGAAGATGCAGCTAGTTCATACCTACGACTGTTATTTGGCTCAAGAAAAATGTGCGTATGCATTCTGGCTGCTCTGCCTGTAAACATAAAACCCTAAACCCTAAACCCCTGGAAACAGAAGCTTTCCAGCCCAGGACTCCGCACGAAGGCAGAGATCGAAACCCACAAACCCCCAGCCCCAGCCTTCTTCCCCCCAGCCTGGAAATCTGAAGTCATGAGGGCCACCTTTCTGTTTTGAAATGCGAATACTAGCTTTAAGCCCCAGCTCGGAAGGATAGTCCCCGCTGAAGCCCTCTCAATGCACATGCATGTAACATGTCAAACAGAGTCCGACAACACGGTACACAGCACAGCTCCAGCAACGTGAGCTTCAGTCATGTGCCGCCGCTCCCGGCTTGTGCTAGCCTTACCGGCCATACTGCTCTCTTTGCTTGGTGCTGCCTCTTTCGTGCGACGTGCAAGATTTGCACGACTGTTGGATGTAAAGGCATTTGCTGCTGCAGAGGCAGTGACGACTACGACTGCAAGGACCATGACCATCGCAACGGCGACTCTAAAGCCGCCAACTTCCACATCGCCTGCTACGGCAATGAACAACAGCCGTCACAAACCAGTCGATGCAAACCGCAAAAATGTCTATATGCTTGGGAATTCTGTGACGCGGCATTATGGGTTTGAAATTTGTGAGCTGGCGAAGAGTGGTAAGTCTAATCAAACGCAAGTTCTTGATCGTAAGCAGGAGCAGAAGCTGTGCAGGGGAATTTTGGGTACTAGTAGCTGCGAGCTCTACTGTGGCTCAACGGCAGTGCGTTTCCTTTGGAAGAACACACTGAGCTTGTCTGCAAGTGCAGATGGGCGTGATGCCTGTAAAGGGCAGCTTCCTAGCTCCACATCCACATGCCTGGGCACTCAACTTAACGGTGCGCAGAGCATGGACTTGCTGGTTGTCGGCTCCGTGGCAGCCAATGACTCTTACATGATCGCGCGCGGCTGGAGAGATGGAAGGCCACAGATTGCAGACTTTCTGCCTCGTTGGGAGGAAGCGCTGAACCACACAAACTTTCCTCAGCTTCTCCGGATGTTGCACGACGTGTTTCCTGGCCTCATCATCTGGCAATCGTATCCTTTTGTGCTCAGAGAAAGAGATTCTCACAGAAGACTGCTACGGGAGCATGTTGAGACAATCCACCGAATGAACGCACGGACGGAAAAGGCCATCAAATCTTTTCAAGAAGGTTATGCGTCCGCCTGTGATGCACGCATACTTTTCGATGATTTCTGGCCGTTGCAGGTGAAGCATGCAAATATGTACCAAGATGTGATTCACCATCCAGGCCCGCTGTCGAACATCATTGTGCAACAAATCATGGATCAATGGACGCACCATGCTCGCGTCTGCGAGTGACTCGACAGCTGCTTGTACGCCGTGCCGCGAGTCAGCCTGCAAGAAGCTTAGGCCGGCTACTGAAAAGCTCGATGCCCAAGCCCTCTAACACGAATTCTTCATGTTCATGGTTTGTGCAACACCAGGTGCAGAAACTTTACATCTAGTGTGCCACAAGTTTGCCGGGGTTCTCGATGCAGGTGAGCTGCAAGCTTTAGCCCCTTTATCTTCTGCCCATGCCATGCGGCCCAAAACCCAATCGCAACCCAAACTTTTCAGTTCTGAATGCAGAGCACCCGAAACACACCCATCCTGACCAGTACCCTGGTGGGATACCTGTTTCGGGCTTCCTAAGCTCTTGGAAGTATCGATCTGTATCACCCAAAGCATTCTAGAACTGAAAGCCCCACGCCCTATGCTCTAAGCTCAAGCACAGTTCTGCGAAGGCTTGGGCCATATTCGGCCGCTTAAATCGTAAGCCCTAAACCAAGACCCTCAAAGCCCTAAACCCACAAAGTCCTTTAACAGCGGATCCCAGAAGTCGCCGCCCAGGAGAGCCTCTACAAGGCACCGCCGTCGATACACAAGGCATCTCCAAGTGGTGCAGGTAGTGGCCGTCCCCTTGGTTTCCGATCAGGAGGGTCAGGATGTTAAGAGCTTGTTTGAGCACCCTTGATTCTGCAACGCCTTCAAAAAGCTCTGTCCCAAGACCCCCAAGCTATAGCCCTAAACCCGAACCCCACAATCCTAAGCCCCCAGGCCCTTCCCCAGTCGCCCCTCAACTGTCTGGTGCTTAGTAGGGAATGTGGGAATGGATCCCTATGATAGTCCCTTAAGGTCCCTTATAGTAGTCCCTATAACCCATTCCCCCATTCCCTAGAAAAAGCACCAAACCCCAAACCCTAAACCCTGAACCCTATAGCACCAGACAGTCAAACTCTTCCAGCCTTACATCCATGTCTTTCCCATCGAAGAGTACCAGGCTGCACCCCTGGCACCCAGGGCTTCCTGCGCGAAGCGTTGAAAACGGCTCTTGCGGCTTCAGAACTTGACCCCTTAAACCCTGAAGCCCTAGAGCCCTAAACCCCTCAACCCCAAAACCCTAAACCCTAATGAAAGTCTTGTGTTGAGCAACGATCCCAAAGCACTAAGACCCATGCTGTGGTCGTCGTGGTCGCACCTGAATTCGGCCCGACACCTTGGCCTTGTTGGTTGAAACTGCAGACTTCGTGTTGTGGGGCATACCGCTGAATCATGCCACTTCCTTGACTGTGTGCCGAGAGCTTGACAAACCCAAACCCCGGCCACTTTGCAGCGTTTTGGCCCTGGCTCCTTCGCTAGCTCGCCGTCTCGTCGGCACTGTGACGTGTTTGGGTTACCAAAGAGTACGACATCCCAATGCCGAACGCAATGCCGACTGATGTCGAGGACACGAGGCAAGGTAAGAAGTAGTTAAACCCTGAAGCGCTTGAGAGCTTTGGGTTTCTAGGTGTTAGTTTCATTCCTACCCGTGCGTATCGGTACGAACACGTCAATTCAAGCAGGAGTCCGGCAAGTGTAAGCAGACTTGCAGGGTTTCGGGCCTCAGTCTCTAGTTTGCTGGTTGCCGAAGCCAAGTCCCGACAGACCACCGTTTTCGATCTTGTACTTCTTGCTGGACATTTGCTGTCCGTTTCATTCGGATCGACGCGGTTCTGTTTCAGCGCGTTTGGCCCTTCCTGTGTTTGCTTAGTCACCATTTCAAGTCTCACTGAAGGCCCAAGTGTTCTGACTCGTGTATGTCCATGAAGCCTGCCGTTTACGAGGTCATCAGCCCCCGAAACCCACAACCCTACAGCTTGGGGCTTCAGCCCTAGACCCTAAACCTAAACCTAAGAACCTAAACCCTAAACCCTAAACCCGAGTCAAACCACTCCTCGAGCCGGCGAATGTTTCTATTGGCCCTCAGAAGGGTTGACTACCACTCGATTGTAACTCCCGAGCTTTGGGTTTCGGTTTAGGGCTCAGGGTTTAGGGTTTGGGGACTGAGTTTAGAGTTGACTGCCACTAAACTGTTAACCTTTTGGGTTTAGGGTTCGGAGGTTCGGGGTTCACGGAGGGCCCATGAACTCCAATATAGAGGAATGGAGGGATTCCATAGAACCTTTCTAGAGTCATGGGTTTCGTTTTCTGATTCGGGGTGAAGGGTCTCAGTCCCGAAATTACTTTCCGAAGCTCGGTTAAGAAACACGTGATGTGTTAGGGTTCAGGGTTGATGGAGGTTTGGGGAGTACCTGACCAACAGTACTCCATAGCTTACTTCTGAACGCAGAATCGAAAGCTATTCGTACATCCCGAGCAGCAGGGACGACGATTTTGAGAGCGATGGCGAGCACGGCGAGGATGCTGGCCTTGTCACGAACGTTCCGCAACCGCAACAGGCCTTCGTTGGGCGGTTGGGGTTGCTGGGAGTTCCTGTAGGGCCTGAATTTGATGCTCTATTGGAGTTTCGCGTAATTTAACTACCCATAGCCCCCATAGCAGTTCCTTTTTGTGGCTTATTTCTAGGATCCTACTAGGTAATCCCTAAAAGGAACTACTATGGGGCCTATGGGTAGGTATAGGAACTGTAAAGGAACATTATGGGTTGAGTTTCTGTTCGTTTGCTGGCATCGAGGGTTTTGGGTTCCTAAGATCCACGAAGGTTTAAGGCGTAGAGCGTGAAGTCCTACTCCCAAACCTTTAAACCCTAGACCAAAGCTCTGAAATCTGAATCTACAAAGCCCAGTAAGGCATTATCACCTCCAATAAGAAGCCTGAAACCTCAAAACCTAAACCCTAAGGCGCTACCACCCTAAACCCTGAACCCTAAGCCCTGAACCCTGAACCCTAAACCCTTAGCCTTAAACCCTAAACCCTGCTCCATGAGAAGCCTGAAACCCTGTCCCTTCTTGAAGCCATGCTCAGCCAGGGTCGCCAGCGGCTTGGGGTTCCTTTCGTCTTCGCTCTCGGCTTCATAGGATGCTTGGCTTTGGGACTGATGAGGTTCAGCGTTTGGGGTTTAGGGTTTCGGGTTCAGGGTTTGGGGTTGTGGGGTAGGTTTTCTAGACGGGGGTTGCTGTAGCGTTTTACAGAGCTGTTGAGGGTCTAGGGGGGATTCAGGGTTTCATGGGCTGTATAGGGTTGTACAGGTTTCATGATGGATTTTGGGGTTTGAGGTTAGCGGGCTCCATGCTTTCCAGCAGTGGGCCTTCGAGGCTGATGTCTGGTGAGGGGTAGTTGGCCGTGAGGCTTTTGAAGGTAGAACCCTACCCTCAACCCTAAACCGTAAAACCCTAACTCTGAACTCTGAACGCTAAGCCGTGATAGGATGAAGTTACAAGCTTAGGCTCTGCCAGACTGGAAAGCTTTGCTGTTTGACTTGAAATCCACGCAAACTGTCGAGGCAGCAATGCACGGGGGTCAGACTTGTGACACAGTAGATATACAGTTGACTACGTATATGTTCTGTAAACACATCTTTCGCAGAAAAATCGAAGAAATGTCTGGCTCTTCACATGCCCGGTCCCCACATGATCCACCCCCTTCTTCTCTTTCAGGCTGAATCTTGTAAGATGGAGCCCCCGAGACGTTGATAAAACAGTACGCAAACTGCCGCAAAAATAGTAAGTGCGAAAACGCCGGCAGGGCTCATTCTCTTTTTCTTCTATTTGCAAACAACCCTGATCATGTGTATACTAATCAGTACATACTTACATACACAGACACGGGGCATTCATAAAGAGGCTGAGTGTTGGCAAAATCCATCGCTGCATCAGGAGTATGAGTAAACCATACTGTTCCAAACACGTGTAGTGATGATTGATCCTCAGTGTTATACGACAGATTATGTAGTTGTTGAATGATGCAACAAAGTACTTGTTTTTGAACCCTAAACCTCGGGGGTCTGAGTCTGGGGCAGTGGTATTGGCAGCTGCATAGTGGTAGTCGTAGTGGCAGGCGGCAGCGGACGGACGAGGGTTTGCAGGGCCGTTTCGGGTTGCAACACCCACTCCATGGTCGGTAGATGGATGTACAGGCGATGACAGACGGACTGATGGATGGACTGATATATGGACTGATGGATGAATGTACGGGCTGTCAGTAGGGAGGTGGGACTACGGGTGCGCCCACGTCCCTCCATCTTCGTGTGTGTTGGCTTTTTGTGTTTCCGGCAGTACGCCAGGAACATTGTCGGTTGTAGGTACCTCGAGCCTGGAGCAGCAGTATTCAAAGCCTGCAAGGTAGCCGCAACCTGTGACGGCGTCTCGACAATTTCCGATGGATAGCTGTCGTCATTATGCTGTTGTAACCTTCTTCGTGGGTGAAATGAAAGGCTCAGCGATCCAGGTGCAAGGAATGTACTTTCAAATCTCATTGACTGTCCAAAGAGGATGTGATCGTAGAAGTCCAACCAGCTAAATGATGGACTGCGATTCCATACTACGGCTCTACTACGGCCATCTGTGAAAGCGTGACCCCCCACAGCCCACCACGACGGATCACCACCGACAAAAGTCTCGCAAGGGGAGTTGGGAGGATCGGAAGATGATACATTTGGATGTAGACGCCTCGGCATATGGTTACAACAGTTGAAAATCTGCGGGTTGTAACGGCATGAGAACTCAATCTAGCAGCTTATGACAGTGTGTAGGAGTTGGCGTTTTTAACGGCATGGGGTAGTCTAAAGTTGCTCAACACACACACGTAATGGAGCACCATAGCACTAGCAAGTGCCTGCAGAAAAGGCATATACATATCAGGGGCTAGCAAAGAGTATATAGCATTTCTCCGCAACCGTTGTTGTTTTTTATGGAATCAGCACGATTACATATGCATACTGACACACGCACACACACGTGTATAAGTGGGTCGGTCTGTCGGTTTGTCTGTCTGTCTCGGTCGGTCTGGCTTTCCGTCTCTGTGCTTGTCTGCATGTCTGGATTCCTCGATATGTGTAGGTCTGTGTGTATGTATGTATGTATGTATGTATGTAAGTATGT